CCGTCCGCGTACCGGCCCATAGTGCTGCTCGACGAGGCGGGCAAACTTCTTGAGCGTATCATCGCAGATCGCCTCGTCAGCCACTTGTGCAGAGTGGGGCCAGACCTGGACGAGAACCAGTTTGGTTTTCGTCGCGGGCGCTCCACCATAGACGCTATTACGCGCGTGAGGGCCCTGGCGGAGGAGACAGTATCCCGGGGTGGAGTGGTGCTGTCGGTGTCATTAGACATCTCCAACGCCTTCAACACCCTACCCTGGAGTTGTATTCGGGAGGCGCTTAATTACCTCCCTACCTCCGCCGCACAATAGGAGCCTACCTTGAGGAGAGATGCGTCACGTATTGGGGACGTGACAGCGCTGGTCGACGCGTCATGTCGTGCGGTGCTCCGCAGGGATCGGTCTTGGGACCGCTCCTGTGGAACATCGGCTACGACTGGGTGCTGAGAGGTGAGCTCCCGTCGGGCGCTGACTTGACCTGTTATGCGGACGACACGCTCGTCACTGCCCGGGGGAGCTCGCACAGGGAAGCAGCGTTGGTTGCCACGACTGCGGTTTCACAAGTGGTGAACCGCATCCAGTGCCTGGGCCTGGAGGTGGCCCTTAACAAGTCGGAGGCCATGGTGTTTCATGGCCTTCGACGCGCGCCGCCACCGGGATCGCACATCGTGGTCGGCGGGGCCCGGATAGCTGTCGAGTCCACCATGAAGTACCTGGGATTGGTGCTCGACAGCCGATGGGAATTTGGGCCCCACTTCCGGCGGCTGGCGCCCAAGCTGATGCGTGCAGCTGGCGCACTTTCAACGCTGCTTCCCAACTTGGGGGGCCCGAGCGCTGCCTGTAGGCGGTTGTACGTGGGAATCGTGCGGTCCATGGCCCTGTATGGGGCCCCTGTATGGGCGATGGACATGACGGCCAGCACTCTCGCCATTCTGCGCAAACCGCAGAGGGCGATGGCCGTCAGAGTCACCCGCGGGTATCGCACGATTTCCTACGAGGCGGCTTGCGTCCCGGCCGGATCCCCGCCCTGGGACCTAGAGGCAAAAGTACTCGCGTCACTATATCGATGGCGCGAGGAAGAGCGGGGACGGGGCTCGAGGCCGGTGCAGCGACAGATCGCGCTGTGCCGAGAGGAGCTCCGTCAGATCTTGGTGGCGGAATGGCGGCAAAGGCTTCTGCGCCCTACCGCCGGCCTCGCTATCGTCGAGGCGATCCGGCCAGTACTTGACGACTGGCTCGGGAGAAGGCACGGCTCCCTGTCGTTTAGGGTGACGCAGGTGTTGTCGGGGCACGGCTGCTTTGGCAAGTACCTGTGCCGCATAGACAGGGAGCCGGACGCTCGGTGCCACCACTGCGTCCATTGCGGGGAGGACACGGCGCAACACACGCTCGCCGAGTGTGTAGCTTGTAAGGAGCAGCGCCGTGTCCTCACAAATGTAGTAGGAGGCGATTTGTCGCTGTCGGCCTTGGTGCGGAGTATGGTCGGTAGCGCAGAATCGTGGGATGCAGTGGTGTCCTTCTGTGAGGACGTGATGTCGCAGAAGGAAACTGCGGAACGGGAGAGGGAGATCTCGACTCCCTTCCCTGGCCGTAGAAGGCGCACCGGGCGCAGGAGAAGGGCGGACAACGCCCTTTTCCAGCCCCCATGAATAAGTCCAGGGGCGAGGGACTAGGGGAAGACCCCCGCCTCCCTATTCGATGGACCCGAGGCGGAGGCACGCGTGGGTGTCGGCGCGTGCCTCTGAGGTGATACAGGGGGTAGTTGAACACCTCACTACCCCGTGCAGAAGACGAGGCCCGTACAGACCGGGCCAGCACTAGTGTGGGGCTGCGGAAGAATTTGGATTCCCGCGGCCCCGCGCGTGCACGTGCGAGGAGACACCGGGGTGGTTTTAGCCGGTAAGAGTCCGGCACACCCCTCCGCCTGTCCCCAGGCAGAGGCAGTCCATGAGGGTTTCCCCCCCCGTAAAAAAAAAAAAAGGTTAGGTTAGGTTAGGTTAGGTTAGGTTAGGTTAGGTTTTTTTTTTCCAATAAGTTTACTCTACAGACTCGAAGCCCTACCTTTTTTTTTGCTTTACTTTATTTTATTAACTTTTAAATTACTGTTATAAATGTACTCCTTACACTACTTACATTACTTAAATATTTAAGCCTAAGCAGTGAGTTCACATATATATATATATATATATATATATATTTTTTTTTGTATTTTTTTTTATTTCTATTGTCTTACATTCTTAAGATCTACAAATTGATATGCTTACATGCGACATGCACTTACACGCTATATTTTTTTTTGTTTGTTTTTTATTTTTTTTTTACACTTTTTTTTTTGTATTATTATTTTTTTTTTATTTCTATTGTCTTACATTCTTAAGATCTACAAACTGATATGCTTACATGCGACATGCACTTACACGCTATTTTTTTTTCACTTTTTTTTGTATTATTTTTTTTTATTTCTATTGTCTTACATTCTTAAGATCTACAAACTGATGTGCTTACATGCGACATGCACTTACACGCTATATTTTTTTACACTTTTTTTTTGGCATCAATTTTATTTATCTTTTTTTTTTTGTTAATTAAACATAATAATTGTCGACCCACTTTGTGTTTTTATATATTTTTTTTTGTCCTTTTTTTTTCTTATGTAGTTATCAACATAATCTACATACTTAATGTATATGGCCTTACATGCTATGTTAATTTATTATATTACCAGATTTTTTTATTTTTTTTCCCCTTTTCCTTGTACTTAATGTCGTGGAGAGTGCTCCATCTTTAACTGTTTGTGATATCTGTTGACAGGGCTTCCACAATAGCTTCGTCTCTGTTTCTAATTGCCATTTTCAGATTATATTCTTTGATTCTTTTCGTTGTCGCAGCCATTGCGCTCTCAATCAGCCTCCCAGTTGCATCGTCGCAATCGTCCGTGTAATAAACACAGCTTTCTGTGTGCCTGGACACTGCCACTACTGCGTGTTGGACGCTGTCATAAATTTTGAGCTTCTCTGTTGTTGTCCTCATTATGACCACTCTCCCATATGTGAGACCTTGGGCCTCATGTACGGTTAAAATTCGCGACCCAGGACCCGAACCATATCCCTGGCTGGTAAGGGACTCCTTTTCTGCTTGCGTAAATACAAGATATAAGGTGTCGGGCAGGGTACCTGGTATGACGACTCCCGTGTACCTCTTCCTTTCTAGTGAGTGCACCTGAGATCTGGATGAATAAATGCCACTGTAGATTTCATTCAGGGCATATGCCACATCCATCGGATTCCGGTGCGTACACAGGAGCTCTTGGCTGATAGTGGTCACGAGGCTTGGGCGAGTATATTGCATCGCAAAGAGGTTTTCCCTGTCGATATAAGGGAGTTGATTGATGTCACCAAAAAACAGTATTTTTTCCGCTCCACTTAGCCGCATTGCCATTACTATGGCCCCGAAATGGTTCATGAGAGCTTCGTCGACTAAAAGTCGAGTACATCTTCCCTTTTGCCTTCTCATACCATTTACTAAAACTGAGGCCATAGTGCGCACTTTTGTTTTTGCGTCAGTGGCTATGCGGTTGGCTAACTTTTCTCTAAGATCTTTAGCTGCTTCTGTTGTTGTTGTGACAATCAAATCATCCTCCGCATCGAATTGGTTTATAACCCAAGTTGTTTTGCCACATCCCGGGACTCCATTGACCCAATTTATCGTCGGCACCGTCCAGTTTTCCCAAGAATCTCCCAATGCACAGGATCCCGAGATGGTTTCCGTCATTTTCAGGATCCTGTCCTCTAGCATCACCCTGGTATAACGGGCGGTGACCACAATAGGGTCGTTGGGGGGGGGGTTTGAATACTAATCTTCCCTGTCGTTCTGTCTCCTCCTCATCCAAGGCTACGAAGCCCGCTGACCCGCTATAAGCCGCCATGTGATGACCCATTTTACCTCTTATGACAGTGGATGTTTTGTTGTCATAAATTGCGGCCTCTGCTTCCTCGAGCTGCACCCCAAGGAACTCATGACTACCGAGGTGGCAACTTTGTAAGATATTCTTGCAAGTAGTTTGGTTCACCTCAATAGTTGCTTTTATGAGGGCCTTAAACTCTAAGAAAGCGTTGTTTATGTGGTCTTTAGGCTTGGCCGCTGGTAGAAGTCTTGGAGGGCTGACACGTCCCGAACAGGGTCTAGTGTGGGTGGGTTTGGATTTCTTGAGTACTCTTGGAGGCTCTCTTATTAAGTTATCGGCTTGTCTTAACTTGCTCAACTTTCGCATTGCTCTTCCTGAAATGCTCTGGGCCGCTGCACTGATGGTTTTAATTAGTGCACTTACCCCGCTTTGTGACTCAGAACTTTTGCTAAGTTTTTCCCTGGCTGCGGCCTTTTCTTTGGCCGTTTTCAGTTGCAGGCGTTCTGAGCCACTAAGTGTCTCTGGATTTGCTACAAGATGTTGGGTTGCCTTTGTTGAGTCGTGATGTTTGAGGAAGCTCAGGTTTTCGCCCCTATCCTCATACACGACTATTTCATGTTTGTTTGAGGCTTTTATACAACCAAAGTGGTCCATGACTTCACCTTTCTCATATAGGACCACCATGGCATCCACACTTATGATGCGGGGTATGACAGACGTCTCTTCCTCACCGAGTCTCGTTAGCAGTGTGCATGCCTGGGCGAATGGGGTTTTTTCTTCGCTCCATGTGAACAGCAAGATCGTTTTGTTTTCGATCTTACTATTCGACATCGTTGCTTTGCAACCTCTATTTCAACTAGCGCCTCATATGTTTTGCGCTTCATGCTCGTTTTGAGAGTACTGCCGTTTAGTAAGCTTGCGAGACCGGGAGATATTTTGACATAGTTTCGGCCAGTTGTTAAGCAAAAACTTAAGCCGAAACGCTCTGTGTTGTTATCCATGAAGAGAGCTACTCCTCGAATTCTCAGGCCTGGGTTTCCTCTTTCGGCGCATGCAAATAGCTGATGGTCTGCTTTATTGGCTGGGATGCTCTTCTCCTTTACGGAGACCTCTGCGAATTCCGCAACAGTTTGCTGCTGTCTGGGGAATGGATAGTACGTGGCGTTACGCTTTGCAGCAGCGCGAAAGATGGACTCCACGAATGCCAGAAATTTGGGCCTTTTTTCTTCGTCTTCGATGATTTTGTGTAGGTTAGACTTGTCAAGATGAAGATGAAGACGTCATACAGAAGGTGTTTGTTCTGCGCCAGTATATTTTCCACGATTTCGACGTCTGTGTGATACGATAGCACGTCCCTGATTATCGCCAAGGGATTGTTTGTTCTGGCAACCTCTACTTTTAAACTTTTATTTGTCTTAACTCTATTTTGGACAAGGTTAAGATCCTCCTTGGTGTTGCAACTGAGAATGACTTTTTGGTTTTTCGCCTTCCTTACCCTATCTACTTTGGCTCCAGTCTTTTTTGTGTCTAGAGCCTCCCTGATTCTCTCGATGATGTTTTCGGCTGTGTTTTTCGAATCAGTTGATGTGATAATGAGAGTGTGATTGGGTTTAGGAAGGGGAGGGCTTGCAGCCACTCTGGTGTATGTCTTTTTTGGCTTTGTTGCTGCTTCGCCAGTTTGTGCAAGCTCTGTTGCTAGACTTGAGGCTGTAGGTGATGGGGCCCGTTGCTTCTGCTCTCTCATCGTCCTCAGCTCGGATGACATTGCACCTAAGTGTTCTTCTATTAGTTGAAGATGTTCCCTTATGCTGGTTTGGAATATTTTACTGGAGTCCGCTGAAGGTAAGATTGAAAGTCCAGATCTGATACTTGTATCTATCTCCTTCAGCGAACTCTTCATTCCATTCAGCTCATGTTCCAACGTTTTACTTATTTCCTCTGAGGTGGGATGGTGGTGACTCCAGGCGTAGCAGGGTTTTTTGGCCGGTCTCCAGAACCTTCTTGGTGTTGTTTTCGGACTTTTCGATGACTCTGCGCATTTCGTCCAATTGAAGTTTGAGTGTTTCCACACTAGATTTTACTCCAGTAAGGTCCACTCTTAGGTGAGATAAGATGTTGTCTGCACCTTCTTGCTTCTGCTGACTTAAGTTCGACTGGATCACACCTATGCGCTTGTCTAAGTCCGTCACAGCTTTGAGTAGGTCACTCGTTTTGCGGAAGGGCTCTTGGGTTTCAAAGTTCAACCAACCCCGTATCGCCTTGGATTCCTGGAGGGTATTTTTTATATCTGTCCTGGCATGGCCTAGTTCGGAAGCCATTTCCTTCATAAGCTGGGTGATGATCTTGTTATGGGCGCGCTCCACTCGCATTAGTTCTTGAGCGTTGCGTGAGCGTTCCCTTTCTAGATTATGCTTATGTCTAGATCTAGAATCTGACAGCGCGAGGACCATCTCGTAGAGGGACTGCAGACTCTCTAAAGCTGTTAACTTACACTCCCTCTTCATATTCCCTGCCATTTCTAGCGCTTCCTTCCCTCTCAGAAGCATTTCGTTCGCTTCTTTTGTTGCCATATCCATTTCCACCCCCAGTCGCCTGTTGGAGTTAAAAAGCAGGCTGGGTCTTCCTTTTTCCGGTGCCTCCGATAGTGGTGATTCCGGCGCAGATGTGATCGAAAGTTCTTCGTCGGATAAAACTGGAAGTGGAGGAATTTCTTCCTGCTTCCAGTTAGCTACTTTGTCGATAGCCGCATCTACCGGGTCACAAACGGAGGATCGGATCGAGCTGTCGCTTTTAACTGAAGTTTGCGACATTTTAGTTCCCAGAGTGGGGGTGTGCGAAGAGGCATTTTTGCTTGTTGTAGATGCGTCTGTCGGAGCAGAGTCCGCTGGACGTTTTCCTGTTGCGGGATGAGATGATGGCTGCGACAACTTCTCCCTAGGTGTTGCTTTTGATAAACTGGATTTTGTAAGTACTTTTTCCCGCAGCGATCGTGGAGGTCTAGGTGGAGCAACAGAAAGGTTTTGGGAGGACTTGATTGAAGAAGCAGTCTCCACATCCGACATGATTACTTTATTTCCTGACATAATTACAAAAATTAAAAGATTCTCTAATTGTAAGTTGCCTTAGTAGCTATAAATATAGGTAATGTCTTATAAAATATTATACAAGTATTATATATTTTTTAATATTTGATGATATTTATTATAATTTTTTTTTGTGAACTCACTGCTGGTGTTCTTCGATGGTTGAATTGCAGCGAGGAGTACGATGGACGCGAAGAAAGAGCCCGTTGTGGGATCTCCGGTTGGTATGCTGTGAGTCCTGGAGTATGCTTGAGGTGTTATTGTCCGGGTTGATATCGGACTATGGTGGAAAATCAAAGTTCTGTAGGGGCCAGAAGGTAGAGCTCTTTTTCCTGATTCAAATGAGCCCTAACACGGGGGGTCTAGCTCCTCTGGTAAACTAGTTATGGCTCGCGGGGGAGAGGTAAGCCTCGAGGGGCGGGGGGGAGGGGGGGTGTAAATTCGCGGGTAGCTTATATATGGTATAATAAAAAATGAGGGGGCGTAGGTAGTTGGGGGGTGGGGGGGTAGGGGGGAATTCGTAAGGAGCGTATATCTGGTATAAAATTAAAGATTGTAGGGGTTAGGAGGGTAGGAAGGGTGTTAAAGGTGGGGGGGGGGTTTCAAGGATAGGGGTTGTTATATGGGGGGGAGGTGATATGTGTGGTGGGGTCTTGAGAAACTGACTCATATGAGTCCAAACTCGGGTGGTCAGGAGTAAGGGGTCTAGGAGTTCCCTCGGGGTTTACCTGATGGCCGTTGAAAGTGTCTCCAGCTGCGGCGATTGTATGCTTGAGGGATTCCTCGGTCCGTCTTCGAAGGCTCCACTGAAGTCTGCACCGTCGCCGGACGCCTCGTGTTCCCTGACTCGCTTTAACCTCAACGTCTGAAAGCACGTTGCAACCACGTGGTTTGAGGTTAAGTTGTTAATTTTAAGGAGTCAATAACTTCTGTGTTTGTGGGCCGATTTTCTTGATTCTTTCGCCGTTTTACTGATCTCTATAGCGGCTCTCAAGTAGAGTGATGAGTACTTATCAATTTTGCTGATGGTGTCGATACTATTTATCCCCAAAGTTAAGAGGCTACTGCTCCTAAACCATCCAATGCACAGAGTTCTCCCCAATTACACTGATGAACTGCACACTCAAAAACTTTTTTACAGCACTTCCACTCGCGTAGCTCAAAAATTGCTATTTTTTTTAAGCAATTTCTCCGTGGAGCTTAATTTGAATATGTCACTTTCAGATGTGTACTTGGGTTAGGTTAGGTTAGGTTAGGTTAGGTTAGGTTAGGTTAGGTTCCCCCCCGAACGGGTTCCCGCCTTGTCGTGGCGGGGGGGCTTAGTAGCAGTGGCTTGGTCTCCCACGGTGAACAAAGAGGAACCCACGTGGCTGGCCCGAGGTGAAGGGCCGGCCTGAGGTGGCCGCTCCGAGTGGGCTTGGGGAGCCAACTTCGGATGTGTGCTGGTGGACTGCAGCGAGTGGGGACTCCGCACCCTCTACCGCTGCAGCCGAGGTGGAGTCACGGAGGAAGAGGAGTGTTGGTATGGCGATGCGCCACTCGCCCTATCCTCCGCGACTCAAACGGGGCCGCACCGTTGATGCGGTGGTGATGGGGCTGCGGGGGGAAAGGATTGTCGGTATTGCGAGGCGCCGCTCTCCCTATCCTCCGCAGCCGAATCTTGGTTGGCGGCGGAGCCATAGACCAGATCCGCCGCTGGGGTCGGGAAGGCTAGTACTTCTAAGTGCTCGTTTTTCCTGGCCCCATGGCCTTCGCGCATCGGACGCGTGGGCGTCTGTTGCGCAGATGTAATTGGAGGCCGTGGAGGAAGGCGTGCCATGTGTTCTGGTGCGCCTTACTTGGGAAGGAGAACGGGGAGGAATATTCCTCTCCCGAGGAGGTGCTGCCATGGGGCGGCAGTCGCTGGTAGGGCCGCGGAAGTGTGCGAAAGCGTTCCCGTAGCCCTGCCAATATGCGACGAAGGTGGAACACCATGGGGTTTTAGTCGGTGCGAGTCCGACATAACCCGTCCTTGCCCCCGCGAGGCGGGTATGCGTAGGCATTTCCCCATGTTAAAAAAAAAAAAAGGTTGGTTAGGTTAGGTTAGGTTAGGTTAGGTTAGGTTAGGTTAGGTTTTTTTTTTTTTTTTATTTTTTTTGCTTTTCCCCCGATCATGGGATCATCGGGTCCTTATTAATCTATATTACTCATACATTCCAGTTCTCGCATATATTCACACTTTCAGGCCGCATACTTAATCTTTCTTTTATCCATCCACGCTCATTCTTTGCCGGGTGGGACTCCCGCTACTCTATGCTTATTTTTAATTTATTCGGGAAAATAAGGTTCTTACACTTTATTTTATTTTCTGTTTAGTTACAATATTATTTATACTTAGCATCTTATAATTTCTACATACTTATTTTTATTCAATTTACAAATTTCCTAATTTTACATATTTATTAACTTACAACTATTGTACTTTCTTTTAACTATTTTACTTATCATTATATTTCTTAGTTCCTACGTTTCCTATTTCTTAGTTCTATTTTTAAATTTATAGATCTAAATTCTTTATATACCTAATATTCTCTATTGTCTTATTTCTAACATTCTATTACAGTTTCTTAATTCTATACTTATAATTGTTATTTGTACAACAGTAAGAACATAATATGTTTATATAATCATTAATTTGCAGTTTACAATTTTACCAGATCTTTACTGTAGTACATTCAGCAGGATTAGTGAGTTTCTGTTTTGTTGCATGTGTTTTGTGCTTTCTTTTATATTTTTGAAAACGCTTTTGTCTAGGCAATAACATATATATAGTAACTTATACATATTTATTGTCCATTTCTTGTGCCAATTTCATTTCGTACTGTTTTTTCTTTTTGTTTTGTGTTACTGTTTGTGGTGTATGTAAGTGTTCCTGTGCTGATATAATCGTGTATATATTTAATATACATTCTGTATATCAGTTGTGTTCGTTTTGCCATGTATTTCGTGTTTGTATGTGTCGTGTTTATGTTTCTGTCTGCTTTGTGGTTGTGTGTACGTGTTATGTGATGTCCTGCGTATGGATCAGGCATAGGCTGTGTTTGCACGAGCCAGGTAGTCCCACTTTTTGCGTACCGGGCAGTCAGCACTAAACGCATTGTGGTCGGTCTTCCGCAACCCAGAGTGTGAGCAATTGCAGCACTGCGGTTCATTTCCTGCGGTAAAGTCTGCGCATTTCTCGCGCAGATGCGGTCCTCCACAGTGACTACATTTGTCCACACTCTCGGTGCAAAATTTCCGACCATGGCCGAATGCGAGGCACTTCGTGCATTGGATGAGCGGAGACTGGTCCTCGACTCTGACCCTTTGGAGGTCCAGATAGAGGGCTCCAGCTTCCGTCATCCTCTGCCATACGTTAGGTTTCACCTGTAGGATTATGTGCAATGTCTTGGGATTTCGTGTGCGTTTTTTAAATTTTACCACCATTTCCTTATCTTCTTCTGGTAGGCCCACGAAAATGTCCTTATTCTGAGCGTAGAGCGCCTTAATCATATCGTCGTCTTCGCTATCCAAAAACACATCTTTAAGGACAACGAGAGGATTTTTATTTTTCATAGGCGCTACTTTCAGTCCATCCCCGCGACTCTCTATAATTTCTTGGACTTTTTTCATCTCTTCTTCTGTGTCGCAACCCAATATTACCTTTTGGTTCTTGGCCTTACGAACCTTGTTAATTTTAAGGCCAGTACCTCTAGCGTCGACCGCTTTTTTTCACCCTGGCGAGCACCTCGTCAGCAGTCTCCAGACCACTTTCGAAGGTGACCGCCATCGAGTGAAGTGCGGGACGGTGGGCTGGTTTGGCTGCTACGACGCTGGCGTATGTCTTAGGGACTGGGGTTATATTTAGTCCGCATGCCAGTCCTTTTGCAACCTCCATGAGTTCTTTTTTGGCTGCGACGACATCATCGGCAATACCACCGACCAGATCTTTAAAGAGAGCCTGCGTTCGACTCTCGGCCTTTTCGGCCGTTTGGTCTACAGCAGCTCTGGTCTCGTCGATCCTGTCGATGATCTTGTCGATCATGTCGGAGCCTCGGTCATCGTTGCTGTTATTGAGTCCTTTTATGTCCGTTTTCAGACTTCGCTCCATCTCATCTATGCGCTCGGTCAGTGCCGCTTCCACCTCTCCCATTTTCCTGAGGATGACATCCTGCCCATTGGACGACGAGATTCTTATAGGTGTCCCTGTTGTTGGGACCTCTGCTTCGAGGCTTTGGATACGCCTACTGAGCTCGAAAATTGCTCGTATGCCTTTATCTGACTGCGCCTCCAGG